GAAGAATCAATATGTTCCCGCTAGGTATTTTCGCGCAAAACCCGACCAATTAAGGACGGCCACGCCACGGGCCGGAAGTGCCTGGAACGCCAGTCACGATTTCGCACGCGATGGGCTGGAATATTCCCGAACTTTTGAAGAAGAGAAAAGTCCCGTGTTCGTTGACTGTGATTGTTTCTTGAACCGGCTAGCTTCCTTTTCCACCTACCACTCAGGTGCTAAAAATCTGATTTCACAGTTCCATCCACCTCATTACTTACCGATCTTGGTTTGATAAGAAAAAGCATCAAAACGGCCGAGTTATCCAAATTATGGACATTGTGCCTTTGAGAGGTGAGATAGTTTCTTCTCTTTAAAATACATCGAATCGTATTTAAAACCTCTCTAGTTCCCGAGAACTGCACAAAGCGTATCTTTTCTCTGTCTGTTCTTTTTTGATTTTGTCCCTCCTAATAGTGTAATGGCGGGTGTAACTGGCATCGTCTATGCACCGGGATACTATATTTATGTAGTTATGCTACTCGTTATGAGCGAGTAGTCGTGTATGTTCACTATTTCCCGCCAACTGACGGCTGCACACCGTCTGAAATTATGTGAATGACCACTATTTGAATTCTTCTAAAGCATCGATTACTTTTTCAGTCACTTAGTCACCAATAGAGAGCTCAAAGACATTTGCTTATCCATCCCTTAATAAAACTGAACTGACCAGAACACCCTGTCATCTCTCCTGGAAAGGATTGGTTGCCTAAAATAGCAATAAGAAGTCTTCGTTTTGTCCGGCAGGAATGCGTTCAACTGCGCTGCGAAAAGTCGCGCGTACTGATGGTTCCACGCGAAAGTACGATGTCAGTGTGGGTGGGAGAGGGCGGATATGTTGTGGTCAGCTGTTTCTACTCTTGAGGTAGAGATTAGTAAGTTGGGCAAATCTTTTTCAGAACTGCCAAAAGTGCGGGTTATATGGTCGCGTAGTGCTGGTAACTGACACAATTCATGTCTGCCTAAGAAGTGCGCAGTTTGGTAACTTTCTCTGTGGCCAATGTTACTAACCAAGTGTGCATTCCGTGCAGGCAATCAGTTCTGAAATATGCCACGCCTGTCAAAATCAGAGAAAAGCCAGTTTCGAGCTAGACTGTTTTGATTGGTCCTGTGGCATCTGGCGCCAAGACATGGAGGGTGTTGTTGATGTTAAGAGATCTGTTCCCATGACCTGCTAGCACATGGCGGTAGTAACAGATGTAAGAAGGTGGGGATCAGGTTGTTCGAACGCCTGATCGAGTTGCAAGCAGGTGGAGTAAACAAATGTCGGTCATTCGATCGGCGCCTCTCACCCATTAAGAAACTATTTAGTTGCTGCCGTGGGATTTCATCGGACAGACAATAAACGATCACCTTTCATGCATAGGACACTCTGTAGAACGAGTGTATCACAGGCTCACGCCGTGCCAGCCGCCTACCACGTTCAGGGCACGACAGGCAATAATACTGTGCGTAGCACCTGCGCTCGATCCCGCCTCCGGTCTTCTTAACTCTGAATAAAGGTGAAGACTGGTCGAGCACCAGAACAGTTTCCTTTATGATTCTGAGCTTTTAACCTCGCACAGGAGTTAATTGTCAGAGATAACTCTAGCAAAAAATAGGCGAAATTATAGGAAATATCAATCTGTCAAAAATCTGTGACTAATTTCTGAAGATGGCTGCACAGGGTTCTGTAAAACGATGCCAAATCGATATGTGGTTCGGCTGGGTCTCCATCCGCAGGCCAGGTTTAAATAAATTATCGTTTCCTCTTGTTGACAGCGTGGGCCAGTATGTTGATGGCTGCGAAGTAAAAACTCATGGGCCGTACGTAGATGGGCACAGCAAATTGCGGTAATTCGTCGCCATGTCGCACAGCCAGCTTAAGCTGTCATGTTTGCGCGATCCGAGCACGCATTTAGTTTGACCTGCGTAGTTACAGGGATAGCTTAAGCATGAAATGCGATACACAACTCCAGGTTGCTCTTTGGAATTACGTCAGTCGTTAATTTTTATTTCCCTGCTGCGCATGGCGGGTTTGGAGCGGTGTGCCATTCCAACACCCAGTCCCACAGCGATGAGCTCATAAGGGCGGTCACAGGCGGATGAGTGTAGAGAGAGTGCTGTAGATGCATCACAAGTTTACCACGACTTAAAATTAACTCACATGCAAGTCACCGTGTTTGTTTTCAGCCTGCTGAAGCACGCGGTGGACCTAGTTGAAACCGACTGTCAAACTGCCATGCTTCCTGCAGCAAACGTGAAATTCAGTCTTCTGACTGACCCAGTATTCGCACGCGTTCGAAGTCAAAGCCATGCCCTGGCGTGTATGCGTGGATGACTACCAAGGAAAGCTCATCCTTCCGTCTCACGGCGAGCTGGTGCTCGTGCAGTCTCTTTTGAACCCCTTTGACGGTTTCGCCAACAGTATGTTCTGTGAGCGACGTCAATTCCGAATTCGCCCATGAGCCAAGCGAATTCTTCCTGTACACCAGCTAT